GAATTCTAAAAAACTGTATGTGAGAACATTCCTATTTATATTCTCCTTCATGTTCTATGAGGGACCCTTCAGCTCTTTTCCTGTTTAGGATGACCTAAACCAGTGATGGCGAACCTTTTTGAGCCGGAGTGCCCAAACTGGATCACTAAACCAACTTATGTATCTCAAAGTGCCAACCCTTCAATTAGACCTGAATACTCTCTGCAGTTCTGAGGTGGTCTGTACGGGCTCTCAGGGGGCTGTGCAGCTCTTAGGTGGGCTCTGTGGGGTTTCTGGTGGTCTGTACATGCTCTCAGGGGAGCTGTGCAGCTCTCAGGCGGTCTATAATGGCTTTTGGGTGGGCTCTGTGGTCCCTCTGGTGGTATGTATGGGCTCTCTGGGGGGCTGTGTGGCTCTCTGGGGGGCCTATAAGGGTTTTCAGGTGGGCTCTCAGGTAGTCTGTTTGGGCTCCCTGGGGGGCTGTGCCGGCTCTCAGGGGGGCAGTGTGGCTCTCGGGTGGTCTATAAGGGCTTTCAGGTGGTTTATATGGGCTCTCTGTGATCGGTAATTGGTATCGGCGAGTACATGAGGGGAAGTACTTGTACTTGGGCCTGAAAATGTGGCATTGGGACATCCCTACTAGAATGGCATCCTTAGAAACATGTGTTTCTAAAACAAAAGGAGCTGAAGAGTCATATATATTTGCTAATGTTGGTGCAGTCTGTAAGTCTTCCTTTAAAGTTTCAAAAGCGTTAGAGCTGGGCCTCACCCCAAGATCCAAATACATCAGATTTGTTTCTTGAAAGACAATAAAGGGGTCTGGCTTTCTCAGCAAATCCCTGTATGAAATCCTTACATAAGTCCACTTGATTTAAAAAGTCAGGTAAGGCCATGTGAGATTTTGGGATAGGAATAACCAATATTGCCATTACTTGTTCTTGCAATAGTTGCCTCTTCCCAAGACTAATGAGCATTGCAAGGAATTTAATTTCCTTTTTAGTAGCTGAACTCTTTCTGTATTCAATTTCAGACTTGCATCTTGCAACAAAGTAAGCAATTCAAACAAAAGAGTTATGTTCTTCTTCAGTCTCTGTACTCAGCAAAAATGTATCCACATGCTGAAAAATACAATCTGGCCTTGAAAATGTAGATACAATTTTAGAAATAGACTCCTGGACTCATTTCACTAATGTCTAATCCTAGTGGCAGTCTAGTAAACACATACTGTTCATTCTGAAAAATAAATGCAAACTTGTACTGACAACTTTTAGTTAATGGTATATAAAAATGACTATTTGCAAACTCCAGTACAGAAAATATTTTGGCTTTGGCATCTAAATGTGACATGTCAGGATTTTCAGGAATAAAAGGCTTGTTATTTGAGATGTACTAATTTAGCATCCTGAGATAAACTGATAAAAATATGTATTATCAGCATTTCTAATTGGCCAAACATAGATGTTTACAACTGAATTTGCTTTCCTCAACACACTGTGTTGTAGAAATTCTTGAATAATAGCTGAAACAGGTTTGACTGAATCTAAGGGAAATGTGTACTGTTGTTGAGGTGTAGGATCTCTACTTTCAATGTTTAATTCTGTATCTTTCAGAGTTCCTATTTCATTTGCGAACTTTGACCACAAACATAGAAACTTTTGTACCAATTGCCTCAATACAATATTATCATCAGTTTCAGGCCATTTGTGTCCTAAAAACACATCAGTGATTGCTGTACATATACTTCCAACATTATTGTACACAGAAGGATCAATTAACAATGATATAGGCTAGGGTCGCACCGATACTGTTTTTTCGGTATCGAGTACAAGTACCAATACTTTGCTTTAGGTACCCGCCAGTACCGATACCGGTGCTTCCACTGGCATGGAGCCGGGTTTGCTCGGGAAGCCGGCTCCATGTTGTTTGGTCGGCCTGACTGAGATTGGCCGGGAAACTAGCTTCCAAGCCAATCAGCATCGAGCCAGCTTCATGGCCAATCAGGAAGCCAGGCAGCGAGTAATGACCTGCCTCCTGGCTTTTTTTTTTGCCTGAAAATACTTTTGGCTTTTATTTTTCATGAAAAACAATATAAGCATACATAAGTATACAATACACAGTAAAAGAGAAAAAAACTTTAATCCTTAGTGAACACCTTATGTATAAATGTATCAGTGTGAAGTTTTCCATACACTGGTGTTATGTCTCCTTCATAGGATCAGGGATATTGGCTGAAGCTTGCTCCAGGTAGGCTAGTGGCCCTGATTGGAGAACATCCTGCTCAGGGAGGATGCCATGACAGCCGGGGGTGGCACAGCTCCAGCTCACTACAGGCAGAACACCACCCGGAAGTCTCTGCCAGCTGCTTGGCCAGGAGGCCGGCTTCCTGGCCAATCAGCAAAGAACCGGCTCGATGCTAATCAGCAGCGAGCAGGCTTCCTGGCCAATTAGGGAGGAAGGTCATTACTCGCCGCCCAGCTTCCTGATTGCATGGGCAGCTGGCTCCATGTTCCCCTATGGCACTGCCGGTCAGAGGAAATCTTAACTCTTAATGAGTCCAGTATTTCTAGACTAGGAGTTTCACCGCCAGTGGTGCAGATCCATAATTGTTTTAATCAGGGGCAGACTGACCATTCGGTCCGTTGGGCACTGCCCGAGGGCCCGCGGCCTTCAGGGGGCCCGTCACGGGCGCCGCATAAGGTGGGGTCGCTGCCGGTAGATCCAGCTTTTTACTCGTAACCTCATCTTTTATATGTCATTTAAAAAATGTGTATTTTGTTGTGTTTTGGGGCAATAAATTAAATTTTTCACTAAATGTTGGGGTTTAATAAGAAGTTGCGCTAATATTGCGCAACATAAAAATTTGCAACTACCACCATTTTATTCTATAGGGTCTTGGCATTCAGAAAATATATAATGTTGGGGGGTTTTAAGTCATTTTCAGGCCTAAAATGTGGAATATAACATGGGTGCAAAAAATGAAAAAAGGGCCTCAGTCATAAAGGGGTTAAAGCCATCAAATTGGAACTACAACCTCTTATTCCTTACAGCCAAGAAAGGTGCCATCTTAGTGTTTATGTGGCTTGCAGTTGCCATGGTGCTGCACATGTGATCAGTCATTTGAGGGCTTGTAAGTTCAGTTGTGAGAGACAGTAAATTGGTGGGCAAAGTGCCTCCTATAAGTGCACATTTGTTTAGCAAATAGTTAATATTTGCAATGTTACATTCCCTTATACTTCGTAGGAGGAAGCATGAAGAGGGCTGTTTGAGGTTACAACGACCTCTTTCCTGAGTTCACAAACTGCCAGCAGGTGGGAGTCACAGAAATATTTGCAGCAACGGCTTCCTGATTCTTTGTCCTTTCATTATTCAAAGAGCGAGCACCCGCCCATCTCAACTCCCTAATGCACAAGTTCAGCAGATCTCCTACACAAGGATATCAAAGTACACTTGAATCACATTCATATTCTGAATGCCTTTTAACCTCTCTCACACTTTCCCTTCCTATTCATTTGTTGCCCATTTTCACTTTATACTTATGAATAATACTGAAAGTGTAGCATAATAGAATTCTTTGGAAATGAGGGTCTAGGATAATGATTCACACAAATGAACCATTAATAGCAGCAGATATCTTTATTCATATTTGTACAATGGCCCCACAAAGTTCTGAACGGAGGTTTTGTTAAAGTGACATTAAAGGATACACTTTTTTTCCCTCCCCCCAATGTTAATTAAAGCACTTACCTTAAATGATGTCTCTTAATCCGATCTCCTTCTTCTTTCCTGTCCTTTTCAGCCTTCTCTCCAGTGCTGCTGCGGGTCTCCGATCCAGCGCTGATTCCTCTGTCCTTGCTGCCACTTCCTGTATCACGGTGTCTGCATGCAGGTGCACGCGTCCATAGACTTACCTTGCATCTCTCCTCGTCTCCCGGCTGAAAATCGGAACTGTGCATGCGCCCGCCCCAAGATGCTTTGCGGCCGGTCGAACAGTTTCGGTTTTTCGGAAGGGAGCGCGGGGTGAAGACGCGGTTAAGTTTAAACCGCTTTTAAAGCAGGTTTTTTTTTTTAACTTTCTGCATAAATCTACTGCTTGCTAGCAGTAGATATATGCAAAAAATGGAGAGTTTATAAAACCCTTTAAATATGTTTGAAAATGGAAGCCATACACCATCTTAAGGTGAAGCCAAAACAGTTTTTTTTCCTGTTTTGGATGACGTGGAGAGGGATTACAACCTTTGTCAGGTTTTTTTGCTGTCTGTGTCCCCGTTAAGGAAATTGATCCTCTCTATTTGTCTTGGTGACAATTATCACCAGAACCGGAATACTGTAGATGGGAAAACTTCCACTAAAAGCAATAGTTCTGGTGACCCCACTGAACATCGGGGATTTCCCTCACTTTAGAAATGTTTCCTCTCACTTCCTGCTGTGGCTATCGGACAGGAAGTGAAAGGGAAACCAAATCATTTGGTTTTTCATTGATTTTATGGTAGGACTAAAGATTTTATGAAAATAATTTAATAAAAATCAACTTTTGTACAACTATGGATGTCTCGATTGTGGTATTTTGCCATCTCAGAAAGCCCCATTAATATCTACTTGCAATACTTGCACAATAGAGCCTTCTTAGAACAGAAAGTGTTCAAATGTCTCAATCAAATATCCATAAATAAGAGTATTCCTCATCTTCGGATAATGGACAGAGCCATGCAAATCATTTCTTTACGCCCCTTTATATTCTCACCATACACTTCATGGTTCTACTTTCTTGTTGGTCACTACTTTGTAGAAACCATTGTTTTCATACATTGCACTAATGATGGCCAACAAGCCTGAAACCGCTGTATGCAGTTTTGGAATACATGGCTCTATATTAAGCTGTAGCTGCGCTATACATGATTTGCATGGCTCCACCTACTTTACTCATTTAAAAAGGAGGAAAGAATATTTGGCCATAACATGATATATAGGTTTGTAAAAATGTTTACTTTAACAAGACATTGATCATGGTTTGTGTTTTACAGTTGCAGGTTCTCTTTCCAGCTATGCAGTGACTACAAGAGAGACAGAAAAATGTTCCAGATTGTGGATTTACCTCGAGACAGGTCATCACCCGCAATTGCATAACAAAGGTGATTGTGCAGAAATGGTGAAAATGGCGTCACATTTTTCTTAGTGATCATGGAGATGTTTTTTCCTGAAATGAGATGAGCGGTGAATATATCCTGTTATAGAGCATGTTTTAGGGTACGTTCACACCATATGCAGTGTGTTCCGGTCCGATTCTGGCCACTCCCTCTGGCCACAATGCGATCGCCCGCACGGGATCGCAAAGCACATTGATCGCAAAGCACTTCACCTGCCCAATGATGCAGCGGTGTTCTGTAGGGATCCATTGCTGCACAGCCCATTGATAACACGCTGGTGCTGTGGCACATATCAGAAGGCCGGCTGCAAAGAACCAGTAAGAAAGTACCCCAAGGTCTCCTGGGATGCGTGACCTGGTTATCCCAGCAAGCTATGGGCAATGTATACATTATTATTTTTTCTTCAATTAAGATTCTTGTCTACATTACACTTATCTACTGCGGTCTTTGCGGGGTTAGCACTAAAGTCACCTTTGGTCACTGGGTGCCCTGTGGGCAGCCTTCCAGGTTCCATTCTGGTAAAAGTTAGCTGCAGAGTATGTTCCAGGTCTAGAGCCACTAACATTGCCTTAGTGATTGCGCTGCAGGCCGGTTGGGTCAAGCACCAGGAGCTACCTCATTTGCATATGTCGCTGGGTGCCTTTTATTCCCTGTCTCCGCCATGTTTTGCAGGGTTAATGCTGTGGTACTGAGCACTGATGTCACCTGCTGGTCGCCCATACTCGATCTGCAATCTCTTTCGCGCCGTGCAGCATTGAAGAAACAACTCACGCTGCTGCTTCTGCTTGCAAGAGCTATGTGGAATGCCCAGCTTTGATCCGTTTCTGCTGTACACCTACAGTGACATTGGTCAACTCTGGCCATCCAATTCTCACCTACTACCAGCCTATACTTTGCCTAACAAGACAGTCACAACATATCTGATTCTAGACATGAGTGGGACAGTGCTGATGTACTGGGTCCCCCCCAGCTGACTTTCTATTAATGACTCTGATACTGCTAGCAACATACCTGCTGATGGTGCTGACATCTGTAGTCTCTGCTTTTGGTGTCTACTCCATCCTTGGAGTCCTTAATAGCTCTGTCAGGTGTGGCTGGGTGCTCTTTCGGCTGAGGTCGGCACGACTGTCCAAGACTTTATAGGTCAAATCACCCAGTTATGTGCTGACCTTTGATTGCGGAGGCCACAAGCATGTTTCCGCACCCTCTCATGCAAACTATATTTTATATACATCTGTGGCCTTAGCAGCTTCCGAGCTTTCAGCCGCAGAGACTGCCCAATTCGGAGTCACTCCGGTCCTTGACTAATGAGCTTACCCATGAGGAGACGCATTCCACTGTTATTAATTCCAAATCGAAGCAGAAAACTTCAGCTCCTATTGATGCTGTGTGCACCATGCTGAAACTAGAGGAATAGCCTGTTGCTGCTACCAGTGTTTTTTCCAGCCTTGAGTCGCTTAAAACTCCTAAGGCCTCAAAGAATTTCCGTTTGCATCTGCTTTTCCGGTTATCCCTCTATAGAGATTGGAAGCATCCTGATACGTTTTTTTCTCTTCCCATGCGCTTATTAGCCTTGTATTCATTTTGTGAGGATTTTATACAGAAGTGGTCCATTCCCACTGTGGATCTGGCTGTGTCCCACCTTAACTAATATTCCAGTAGAGAATGCGCAGTGGTTGGAAGCCCATTCTAGAACCATTGAGGGAGACAGGTCCCACCCCTCAGTGTTCATGGTCATGCTCACAGTTCTGCTCTGCTACAAAACTGAGGCATCCTGGTAGTAGAAGGAGTTATCCTGGGATAGCCTACAGTTTTTTGGTTTGACAGTGTCCAGTCCACTTGTGGGCGGCACTGTAACCCAAAGGTTAAAGACTTGAGTGGACGCCAAGAAAAGGATTTTATGGGGAGTACAAAAATCCTTTTATCTGCCGGATGGCTTCGCCATAACGTAGAATAAATAATCAGGGAGTCCAGCTGCCAGGTGTAACACCATTCTATAGAGTTGCAGAGCAGAAGGAAGCAGACATAAATGACTCAATAAATCATTATTGAGTCATTATTGAGTCTAAAGCTGGCCACACACCTTACAACCATCGCAAGACTTTTGTCTTGCGATGGTTGTAAGGTAATTAAAAAAACGCACGATCTGCCCATCTTGGACAGGCAGATCGTACTTGCGATAATCGCAAGCTCGCCCCGCTGAGGGGTGGGCTTCCATGACCGCAATGCTAAACGGGTAGTGTGCGCTTGTGCACACCGGCCTGTGCGGCAGTTATCTCACGGTCATGCTACAAACCAGCCGAAAATCGTACGATTCTCGGCTGGTTTTCGAACATGCTCGAAAGACAAAAGTCGTGCGACCGTACAGTAGAAACAGTCGCACGCCTTCCACAACCTTGCGATAATCGTATGATTGCGGGATTTCCCGCGATTATCGTAAGATTATCGCAAGGTGTGTGGGCACCTTAAGGGCCTGTGTTGACAAGCTTTTCGCTTCAGATGGGGTTTGCATTGTAATTCAGTCTGCTTCTTAATGTCATGATATCATTACAGCGCAATTTATCAAGTTGTTTCCTGTTTTCTTCCAGAGTCCCAGCAAACTTCAGAAGCAGATCAAAAGTACAGCAAAACCAGGAATAAATACGGGGATGAAATTTAATAAATGCTTGTTTCACAGCAGGGGACTTTCTTGAACTTGAATTAGCCTGCCACAGAAAGCAAGACCACACAGAAAATTAAACATAATACTCTGAGTCAAACATAACAGGGTATTGTTAGTATATTGGTCCTATTGTTCATTGTTTGCTAAATTTAGCACATCTCATTGTTGAGTTGCTTATACAGTCTGCAATGTTAAAAATCACTGGGGCTTTCCTGAAAGGCACAAGAGAAGTCTCCAAGGCTGTAAAGACTCGTACTTTACTTATATTTGGCTAAGTGAGATCTAAGAAACCATGATTCTAAGGGCTACGTGTATCACTCCCCCTCCCTCAGCTATCACCAGGCCAAATTCTGTCACAAGGGGGCAGGAGTGAGCTTACTTTAGCCCTGTGCCCTTCTTTACTCTTAGTGACTTGGAACTTCCACATGAATTTTGGAGTTGTCTGAGAGGGTACAAAGAGAGAGGATGGAATGTAAGTGCTTGCTGTTCGGTAAGCATTTGGTTTAGGCAAAGTACAGCTTCACTTTAAAGTAAAGTACATTTTATAAAAAACGAACAAAAACCTGTGCCCCATTTGAGATTACACCGCAGTTCTTCGCATCCACCATCTGCTGGACCCCTGTCCAGTGATAATGTTTGATAAGCAGAAGGAGGCTCGTGCCCCAAGCTGAGAAGATCAGGACTCAGCCGTTCCACTAGCTTGGCTGATATCAGTATCTATCGCACAGAATCGGATCTGTACAGTATGAGATCCTTTTAGCCTTTAAGAGCCCTGATTTTTTTTTTTTGGGCTGCAGCTACAATTTGAATGTCATTTACTGGACAGTGTCACATAGTGCAGAATAGTGGAGATGGGTAGGCAATAGTATTCAGTATTCGTCTTTGTATTTATTTCTGTTACTGGTATAAATTCCCAGTGTATCACATATGAATACCCACATTCTGTGCCTTTCTATACACTCATATATATTCTTCTTTTATAGAAAGATAGGGGTGCAGGGAGGGGCAGCACTGTCACAGGCTGCTACAAGTGATCTGGCTGGGTGTACAGCCACTCTGATCGCTTGTAGAAAACAAGAATCGCCTGCTGGAAACATCGGTACCAAGATCATGGCTGCAGCAGAAGTCGTGATCTTGGTATAAGCCATTTCGGGACCAGGACATTTATGACTGTCCGGCGGTCCTGAATAAGTTAAGACACATTACCAGGTCAATCGTCAATTGTGATGTATGCATTTGTATTTGTGTTGTAAAGCACTACATTGAAGAAACAACAGAACAGATAAAAGACTGACCAGCTCAATACAGACATGTGAATAAACAGGCAAAGCCAACATTTCTGCCTAAACACTTTGTGGTGATGACACATGCAGATTTAGAACTCAGATTTATTGTCCTGGATAATGTAACCAGGCCACAGAGAGGTGAATACTGCATCACAATGGTAAAGAAATGTGAAGTTTGAAGAATAAACTTGACACACTACATCCTAATGGTCTTAATAAAGTATATGATCTTTATTTATTTAAATCAATTCCTCCATGTAACAGGTGTATACAGCTATGGACCTATGCAGGGGTGGAGTGTTGACTGGGACTCTGGGGCCCACCAGGGAAAGTTAAGCTAGGGGCTCACCTTGCCAACCCATCAACTTTTTTTAACACGACACAAGTACAGTCTTCATCCAACAACATTGCCCTTATTTCTCATACCACAACTTCACAGAAAAGGTCTATACTTTCCAATGTATTTATAACACCGTCATGTAAGTATATTCAGACAAATGATTCTGTCTGATTTCTACATCTTTGTGCTCAATGAACCACATGCAAGATGTAAGTAATTGGTGTTTCGCCAAGTATGATGAGGATGATGACCACTGTTACAGAACAGAAATCAATATAACACTCCATCCTGAAGATGCTGACATTTATTATATAGTATTTAGAACACAATCATGCAAATTAGGGATGCACCGATACCAATGCTCGTACTCACCCAAATGCTCCCGATACTTATTCTGATGCCCGGAACTTCCTGATTGGCTGGGAAGCTGGCTCCATGCTCCCACGTCACCAGGGAGCAGGGAGCTGGCTTTCCGGCCAATCAAGAAGCCAGGGGATGGGTAATGGCTTGCCCTCCGGCTTCCTGATTGGCCCAGGAAGCCGGCTCCATGCTCCCTCGTCACTTGGTGATGAGGGAGCATGGAGCTGGCTACCTGGCCAATCAGAAAGCCGGGCGGCATGTAATGACTCGCCGCCCGGCTTCCTGATTGGTCAGGAAGCTGTCATTACCCACCCCCCAGCGTCCTGATTGGCCAGAAAGCCGGCTCCATGCTTCCTCGTCACCTGGTCGTTACACGGCACCTGGCTTCCTTAGTGGGACTTTTGGTATCGGTATTCGGTACTTAATACATCTTTGTGCTCAGTAAACAACATCCAAGATGTATATAACAGTGACGATAAAAATGACACACACAATCATTGGTCAAGAACTTGTTGCGAAGTATGATGAGGATAACCAGTAATTGTTCACACAAGTGTGAAGTATGAAGAAGATGATAACCAATGGTATAGACCTGAAATCATTGTATTACCCAGTGCTCAAAAGGTTGACATTAGTTATATAGTGTTTGGCAATGTTCAGAGAGTTATTGTGCTCTTTAACTGTACCTCCAATGTTTTCCACTAAAATGACCTAAATAAAAAAAACCTGAAATAAAACCTTTAACCCCATTTGTAATATCTATAAAATGTATTTATTACTGGCTTTGTTACCCTTTATTTTATGGTTTGATGACATTTTACAGGACTATCCTATGCCTCTAAGGCGGGGCAGGGGGTTGGTGGGATTGGGATGATTGTTTGGTTTTTGTATTCAGCTCTAAAGAGGAAGTTTTTGTAGAACACAAGAAGAATGAGCAAATGTATCAAGAATGTCATCATATCCTACATTTCTGTTGACATTGCTCACTGTGTTCAGTTAAATAAGGGATTCCAGCTAATCCAGTGAAGATCTTAATCCGTTTTTAACTATTTCTGTAGGGGTCCCCCAAGGCTCTGTCCTTGGACCCCTTCTTTTCTATATCTACACCTCCTCTCTTGGTCAGTTAATAACCTCACATGGCTTCCAATACCATCTCTATGTCAATGACACTCAAATATATCTTTCTACTCCGCAACTTACCCCCTCAGTGTCTTTGCGTGTCACTAATCTACAATCCGACATATCCGTCTGGATGTCGCAACACTTCTTAAAACTCAGCCTGTCAAAAACTGAGCTCATATTTCCTCCCGCCCGTGCACCTTCCCCCAACTTTTCCCTTGAGATTGACAACACAACCCCGGCTATATCTCAAACCATCACCTCTTAAAATATCACCCTAACCGTCCCCTCCACTCTTCAAAAGACCTCCTGCTTTCCAGCTCCCTCATCATTTCCTCCCATGCTTGCCTTCAGGACTTCTCTAGAGTCTCTCACAACCTCTGGAACTCTTTACCCCAACCTGTCCGTCTATCTCCCGCTCTGACTGCCTTTAGGTGATCCCTAAAGACTCATCTCTTCAGGGCTGCCTATCCCACATCAACCTAACCACTCAACCATCACGTTCTCAAACAATTCATCCCCACACAGCTACCTCCTCATGTATCACTTGCCCCTCCCTTTTATATTGTAAGCCCTCATGGGCAGGGCCCTCCTTACCACCTTGTCTTGAATTGTATTGTAATTGTCATGTCTTCCTTATATTGTAAAAAGCTGCACAAACTGTTAGGGCTATATAAATCCTGTATAATAATAATACTGTCAAATCTAGGGGATTCAGCAATGTGTTCCAAGCAGTACAGAATACAATTCCTTTGATTGGTCTACAGTGAAACCAATGATAATACACAGTGCTCTTGGCTTGCTACGCCATCTAGTATCACCAGTTTTCTTAAGTCGTGAGAGCTTTTTTCATGGCCATTCTCTCCTGCTTCCTCCTCCCTTCTTTTCCCTGTGTTGGGAACCCATTTCTTGACCATGTTTTGCATCCACAGCAGTTTTGGGGTAATATATATATATTTTTATTAGGGCTGCGGAAATTAACGATTAATCCTTCGATTAATCGTTAATTTTTTTGATCAATCAAAATTATTTTGATCGGAACTCACCTCTCCGCCGGCTTCCGGGTCTTCCGTCGGAGATCCGGTGACGTCACGGACTCCTTCCCCGAGTAGCTCTGTCGGCTAACGAAGGGAAGGGGGCAGGAGTCCGGTGACATCGATGTCCGTGACGTCACGGACTCCTCCCCCTTCCCCGAGTGGCTCTGTCGGCTAACGAAGGGAAGGGGGGAGGAGTCCGGTGACATCGATGTCCGTGGCGTCACCGGACTCCTCCCCTTCCCTTCGTTAGCCTCCCCTTCCCTTCGTTGTGAGCCGTATTGTAACTGCAAAGTAATTGGATCTTCTATGTGCCTCATTTTATATGCTGCAAATCTTTCTCGTGCCCAGGCTGATATTTGGTATGTATAGCCCCTCCATTCAGCAGTGCAATGGTTCACTGCTGAACCATTGCACTGGTTCAGCAGTTCCTGATCTGAACCATTGCACTGATTCATTGTTCCTGATCTTTTCAGGAACAATGGATGACTGAATATCTATTTCTGGACTTAAAACTGCCTTTATTATTATTTTTTTCCCCAACAATAAGTATCAATCGCAGGGGCCCCAACAAGTGTCTGAGATCATAACTGTCCATTCGCAGCATTGGGGTCTAACAAAGTTGGTTAGACCCCCACAGAGCCCTGGTTAGACCTCACAGAGCCCTGCTACCCTGGTGAGACCCCATCAGAGCCCTGGTGAGTCCCCAGAGAGCCGTGGTGAGACCTCACAAAGCCATGGTGAGACCCATGGAGCCCTGGTGAGACCAGGGCTCTGTGGGGTCCTGCCAGGGCTCTGTGGGGTCTTGCCAGAGCTCTGTGGGTCTAACAAGGCTGGTTAGACCCCACAGAGCCCTGCTACCCTGGTGAGGCCCCCTCAAAGCTCTGGTGAGACCCCCGTCTGTATGTGCGTTAT